CGCCTCCAACTTCTTCAGCAAGAAATTCTTCGTCTTGTAGCGCTCACGGGCCGTCGCGCCTTGCATGAGGCGACGGTATAGTACAAGCCACTTGTGTAACGGTAGCCAGGGTTCTAGGTCGTTGGACGCGTTGTCGATGCCGGAGATGAGGGTGCTGACTTCTTTTTGCCAGTCCGAGGGGCTGGAGTGGTACCAGCGGTATTTTACTTTGAGGAGCCGGATTGAGCGCGCGTATTCTGTGGAGAAGTGGACGAGGATGTCGGTTTCTGGTGTGGGGATGGGAATGGGGCAGCGGATTAGGTCGGCTTTGCAGATTTCGGGGGTGAAGGGGTCGACTGCGTATGTGAAGGATTCGTTGGGAGCGGTGTTGGTGTGGGTGTCTTCTTCGGTGGCGCTATTGTGTGTTTTGTTCCATGCGTCGACTTCTTTCAGCATCTCTGCCCATTTTTCGTCGGAGGGGTCATTCAAATCATCGAAGGGGAAATCAGGGAAGTCCGATGGGAGAAGCGCGCTGAAGTCAATATCGAAATCCTCGAGAGAGTCGAAATCGTCTGCGTACTCCTCGGGTTGCGCGGTCTCCTCGTCATCTGCGAAGCCTGTCGCTGTCAGTGACTCGCTATGAGCTGACCGGTCCGAAGCATTAAGATTGTCGGATAGTTGTTCGTCCAGCTCAGCTGAGATCAGACTGGCTTCCGAATCAGCTTCGACCCCCATGTTCGTCCACTTGTTCGAAGGGGAAGGGGTGCTTACCTCCATACGCTCTAGCTGCATAGCTGTCAGCATGTCTGCCATTATGACATCCTCACCGGCTTGTCGCTCCTCTCAGGAGGGGATAGACAGCTCGTACTCCGAAGAAAGACCGGTAGGTGTAGAGGCGGGTTGCATGGAGGCAGAGGTTTCGGGTGGCATAGCATCGACGGATCCGTGCATCATCGCAGGCGCTGGTTCTATGACCTTGTTTTCCTCAATCCTGTTTCTTCCGTGAGAGTCTCGGTGGGTCTGGTCTGTTGCATGAATGTTGGCGTTGGCCATCTTGTACAGGTGTTCCTCTTAGGATTTCGTTCGGCTATGTTGTACGGTTCTTCTCTGTTGTTCATTACAAACCATCACAGGCAGATTTTGGTGTAACTGGTGTGAGGTCTGCATAGTGAAGGTAGTGTAAATGAATGTAATTTCACAACGCAAAAAAAAAAAGCTTCTAAGTAAGAACACACGGTGACGACGATGTTTAATTACGCCAGAAGTACAGTGAAATGTCTTGATGGATACTGTAGCTTCGCCGCGGAACTTGATGGCAAAATGAATCATGGGGCCGTATGTCCTCTTGATGGATCCTACGGTCACCACCTTGATTAGATTAAAGATATGGTTCGCCAGCCTCCCTGTTGTTTCTTCTCATGCTGTATAATTGTCTCCAGCGACTCTATATGGTTCTTCCTGGGATAGTGCCCGTAACACGCAGCTGATACCAGTTTATAGCCTAATAGCTCCTGAGAACGCAGTATTAGCGGCGATCTGCAGCCTCTCAAGACCCAGACCTCATCGTTCTGTCGAGATTCGCGAGAGCAAGCGCCGGGAAAACCATCCACAGATGTGTAGAAGCACCCGGTGCGTCTTGAGTTATGTGAATCTCTGTCTAACACGTCCATCATGACTCCTTCGACTTGTAAGGCCAGTGGAATTCCACGACGAGCTTCAAATGAGTGAAACGAAGCATTGGCTGCAGATTTCCTCAGCTGAGGGTAGTGTGGGATGACTGGATTAGTGAAGATCTCTCTGGACCTCCAATCGACCACCCAGGATGGTAAAGTGCTGTCATGCCGTAGTTCAGAAATTGCAGCATGCCATAGAAGCTCTAAGCTGTCTTCTGTCTCTATTATCTTGGTACTTGTATCGATTAGAACTCGATCAATCGAATCGGAATAGTTCGGCACGATCCCATAAGCCGGACTGGCCAAACCGATATATGCATATACTTTATCCCTTGGATCTGAAGTAATGCGATTGCGGGAATGCGCCAGGAGTTCCACGAGATCCTGATTCTCGTACCAGTGGGTTTTGGTCTCCATCATGAATGCCAATCCTGCCATGGCTATTCTCGACTCATTGCGCCGAATGTGCGCGATAATCCGACTCGGATCGCGTTGTTCAGGAAGATCCAAAGTAGGGTCTTTCTCGTACACCAAAGAATAGATTGCCAGCTCGAGATCATGATTATGGTCAGAACTGATCGCCTTCCATACTGGCAGAAGAGTTTGCCAGGACGCATATACTCCACTATACATGAAGTGTACTCTTGCTGCGACAATGAACTCCTGAAAGACCCAGGCTCTGGTAAACCAGGGTGCTTCGATGATCTCATATGAAGCAAACCACCCTCGTCTGAAGTCCTCAATTCTTTTGTTTTCGCAGATGTGGTTTCTTATGCGGTATTGGCGATCGCCGTCAGTAAAAGTGGCACATTCCGAATTGACCCTACGGTTCCCATACAATCTGATCAAGCGACGCCGTTCCGCCTCTGGAATCTCATCCCACTCACGGGGGCGGACTTCGCTCGCTAGTTCAACAAGCCAACTCATGCCTTTTGGGTCGGATCTTTGCGTCGACAGACAGACAAGGACTTGCTCTGCGTACTGATAGATCTCGCGCATGAACCCCACCTGTGACGATCTCTCGCTGATATCGTACTGGTTTATCGAGATTTGATCGATCCACAATAGACAATCCCTGTCACTGTATGTAGCTTTCCAGAAGGTACGAACTTCCTTCAGAGCATGTGCCAGATTTGCGAACACATTGAAGGGCATGCCGTTGAGGACGATAGATTCGGTATCCTTTGCAGAGCCAGCGCAGTAGGATGGAGCGGTATATCGTCCTTTCAGATCGAGCAAAGGCGCACCTGGGAGTAGTGTACATTCGATGACATCGTCTCCGGTGCCAGGCCAGAGTTTGACAAGGCGAATCTCCTGCTGAGCGACATCCAGTTCTGAGTATAGGCTACTCGCATGAAACGCGTCGTTATTGGGTGTGCAAAAGATGTCATGGCCAGGCTGGAGCCCGTCAGACTGTAGAGGCACTGTCGGCTCTTCCGCCATGGTCGAGTAGCGTTTGACCCTCCGACTAGGCTGGTGTGATGGGTGGAAAGTGGAGAAGATTGCGACGACGCCTCGTCCGCTTACGTGGGAGCGACTGTTCACCCCACATCCCCGCTTCCCTCGCTGCTTCCTCCCACGCCAACTTCCACGTGCAAACTCTCAACGAACCACGACTGTGTGCGACACACCATTTGACTTCTAGCTCCCTTGTTTGTCGCGACAGGGCTTACGGCAGAATGTCACTGATGATGCGAGACGGGATGATTCGCGTCGACTCTAACTCGCGACGGGGCTCGAGTCCTTGGGCTTCATCCCAAACACGCTCAGGTTGCACCATCGATGACGTCCCCAAACTTCTGGAATCGCTTCGGATTGCATTTGGAGGATAGGGATATTTGCCTGAAAGCTGTGCGAGATCGCTATGGAGACTATGAGGTTGATGAGTATAGCGAACAGGGTTATTGTAGCTTCACCCTTCTGGTCACGCCACCAAAAGTCGCTTTTGCGAGGGAAAACACCCGGCCTCAGGCTACCGCAGAGGTGGAATGTGAAGATGCGCCTGCTCTTATCGTCCAGCTTCGGCCACCTCAGCACGCCCTCGACCTCAACATTGTACGCGCTGCTAGCACAGCGCACCAAGCACTAGCCCCCACCATCGAGGATCTCGATTTAACACTACCCAGAGGCATATGCGCATACGAGATGAGAAAGGTTGACGGCACGCCGCTGAGCCGATTACAGCAGCATGGACACTCACTCGATGATAGAGCAGCAAAGCGGCTGGAGCGCCTCATCACAAGTTTCGCGGATCTTATCGCGCAAAACTGGCACTCACCACGGGAAGTACATGATATCACCCGAACGGTACGAGCAGATTCACCTATGGATGAGCATCCATCGATGCTCACGCAGTGCCGCGGCAAGGTCGGCTCAACGATGATCTCTAGACTTGAGAGACTGGCTAGTGAGCTACCGGATGCATATCTACGCGAAAGAGCGAGAGAAACAATGCGCGCGATACAGCGGATGGAAGACTACCCAGTAGTACTCAATCACGGGGACCTCATCCCATCCAATATTCTGGTTGACCACGATACCTGGGAGATCACAGGCCTGGTGGACTGGGCGGAGGCGGAATACTTACCTTTCGGGACCTGCCTGTACGGTCTCGAGCATCTCCTTGGAACCATCTCACAAGATCCCGCAAAATCAGGGCCCAAATGGACCTACTTCAACGGTGCGACGCAACTTCGTGAGCTGTTTTGGTCGCGCTTGATCGATGCCATACCTGAATTGGAAGCTCGGATGGGGGATGTGAGAGTGATGAGAGATGTGGGTGTGCTGCTTTGGCATGGCATCGCTTGGGATAATGGTGCTATCGATCGCGTCGTCAATGATGGGGAAGATGTGGAAGAGCTGGTTAAACTTCGCGCGTTTCTGACCGCAGGATGAGAGCTGCCGCGCGAAGCACCAACGGCGAGCGCATGAGGTATCGTTCTCTTTCTTTTTCGTCTCGTCTTTCATTCCACTTGTCTTCGTTTACGATGTGTTATGCTGAGATTTCGCTCTTGCTGTTGATCGCGGTGCGTCGCGCCTTCCTTTCAAACAGTGGATGTCCCTTCCCACACATAGTGCACCTTCTACATACATGTAGGCAACATCATGAGTTTGTTTGCGACTCATCACTTCGCTCTCCGTCCTCTCCTTCGCCGCTATCGTCGTCGGGTTCGCTCCACCTCGCGTACGCAAGAAGAGCGTCGCCAGTAATCACGTTCTCATCTTCACCACCCTAATCCGGCACAGCGCTGTACCATTTCGGCGACGTGATAGTTGGGAACTGGTGAGTAGAATTTGAAATCAACTGAGCGGTGAAGGTCTGACGAACCAGGACAGACACTGAACATCATGGTGTCCACTCGGCGAGGCACTGCAAACGCAGAGCCAGACACGGCTGGCATTGGACAGCCCAGACCGCTCCGACAGGCGAGCGACACCATACATATCATCGTTCCCAGCGTCAAGAAGGTCGACAAAGCTCAGAAGAATCGAAGGGTGCCAGAAACTCCTCCTAGAATGGCGCTCTCCGGCAATATTAGTGAGCATGATCTCAGTCTCACATCCCCGAGTACCGGCGAATCTCCAGTGGTACTCACCATCACGACGGCGAAGGAACGACAAGGCTCGACTGATCCCACCGATCGAACAGTCTCCTCCGCCCTGCGAAGGCTTGCACCTAAGCCTTTCGCAAACATGAGCGGCAGCAGCCATAATCCAATCATCGTCGATGGTACCTCACCACCTCCACGGCGAGCAACGCGAGCCCCGAAGCGCAGACAGAAACACAAGAAGCTGTCAGAACCGCATCAGTTCATCGGCAACGGATATAGGGAACTATACAGTTACGGTGTCTCTAGACCAGCACTGGCAGCCATGCCTGCGAACGGTAGCACATTCACCGGGCACCAGAGTCACGATATCTATCGAATGATGAGCGCGAAGATCACTGCCGCGCCTGAAGTCAGCCCGAACGCAGCATGGGGCCGACACACCCTCAATGTACCTTTTGAAGTACAGTATCCACTCTCCGCGCCGGTTCTTGCGCAACACGCGCCACAACACCAACCAGCATATGCGCAACACTATCATGTTCAAGTTCCTTCCAACACATACGTCTTGCCAATGGTTCCCTCTCAGAACGAGAACTCGCTCCGTAGGAGAGCTGTCCATCACATCCAAGAGTACTCACGAACTTCACCACAGAAGAGGAAGTTCGCCGATGCTGACCTTGCTGAAACCAGCGATGGTGAAGCCAAAGAACACCAGCGGCATGCTCGACCGAAATCGAGCCGTCCAATTACTCAATCAAATGCCACACCTGCATCCAGGGTACGCAACGTTGACCAACATAGGAATCACCCGCCGACAGTACATCGAGACCCAGATGCCAACCTCCTCATCAGTCACCTCATCGAGCACACCTCACTCATCACATCCTTGCTACAAGTCTATCCTCACTCTACAGATAAGAGAGGCTTACAGAATGATATATCGATGATGGTTCAGATCCAGAATCAATACATGAGTGCTTGGATGGAGAGTGAATCACTAAGCTCGCGCAAGAGAATGAAGAGTGGCGGTGACGGTGGTGTCAGTCTGGCGAGCCACCCACGGCCTATCATCACTCCCGCGGTGGATGTTCAGAATGAAAAGGACCATACAGTGCGTCAGGCTCTTTCTGCTGATGCCGACATGTGGCAAGATGGTACAGGGCATAGTGTTGCGGACGCGTTCGCGGTCGCACCTCAATCGTCGCCGGTGGCGAGCACCTCTAATGGAAGGATAGCTGATCCCAAGAGTATACTTCCGACTGCAACGACGTCTCGTCATCATATCCCGGGAAGGACTGGCACCGAAGACACCGTCGTCAAAACCCCACCACAGTCGATTTCAGATCCGGGAGCAACGTCGACGAGACACAAGGGTATTCTCGTTACACCTATTCGACGGGAAGCACCACAGACACTCGAACAAATGTCCAAGGCGGCCAATGACAACCCCAAGACTATGAACTACATGAGTCACCCGTATACTCCTTCCAAAGACCTGAGAACTCCCACAAAACTACCTCCCCGCTCTGCCAGCTCTCCAATCACACCAACTACCAAGAATGACGCTTCGTCTCAACACCGAAATGGCGAGTCTTCTTCTTCCCGCAGCAAGCGCAGCGCCCCTACACGACCTGTCCCCAGCCCCGAGCACGGCAAACTCCAAGTCCTGGGTACCAAGAACGCTTCAAGCAGCTTTCACAGTGAGAGCTCGAGCGACTTTGGTACCCGAAGGCCGGTGTTTCGATTCGAACGACGCGTTGCGGGTGAAGGCGGGGAAGCTGAAGCGGATGATGATGCGACACCGACTGTGAACGAGTGAGTGGACTGGACAGCATGCGTGTGAGAGCTGCGCAGAGAGCGGGTGTCTACTGGGGAGTTGAGCAGCATTTGGGCAGAATGTACGTGTTTCCGAAGTAGTATGGGAGAAGAGAGAAGAGGCCATCGCATGATTCAACGGGCCGGAAGCGAGAAGGATGTGTCATGGGCGTCGAAAAAGGTGATCTCGAAGATCACGTCAGGTCTTCGGGCTACTTAAGAACGGGATAGCTCATGTTTCATGATCCATATTCTATCTGGGTATCAAGTTACTTTTCCCTTTTCCCTTTTTCCGTTCGTCTGCCATGAAAGACCATCTGATTTTCGATCCATCTGATACACATAGCAATGCATAACACAACAAAACCCCTCATCACCATACACATAAACAACCCCACTTAATTTCCCTTATTCCCCCTCTTACCACCCCTCTTCTTCCTCTCCACATGCCCCTGCATCGTCCTCTTAACATCCCCCAAACTGCGCTTATTCTTAAACCTCGCCTTACCCAGCGTCATGAGGAAATTCTTCTTCCGTGCCTTCTCCTTGTTCGTCGTACTCTTGCCCTCTTCCACCTTCTTGGCCTGGTGCTTCGCCGCTTTGGACGTGTGGTTCGTTTCGCGGTCGGCTCTGGCAAGAGCGATTTTCTCTTCCTTGGTATTCTTCTTGCCGATTTTGGCGGCGAGTTCGATGGTCTCGGCGGTGATGGCTTCGTCGGCGTGGCGGGCGGCGAGGAGCTGGGCGCGCTTGGAGGAGCCGGCGAGGGTGGAGGTTATGGTGCTGGAGGCGCGGAGGGCTTGGAGTTGTTTGAGGTCGGCGGGGGTGAGGATGGTGGTTGTGAGGAGTTTGGAGAGGGACTTGGTTTCTGGTTCGGCGCTCTTGGAGTTTTCCTTGTCGTCGGATGGGCCGGGGGTGGCGCTGTCGAGCTTGGCTTTCTTTGCGGGGCGTTCCTTCTTGTCTTTTTCGTCTTCTGAGTCGCTGATTTGGATGTCTTCGCCGTCGCTTTCGACGTTGATCCAGCCGCCGGAGTCGTCGCTGTCGCCCTCGCTCTCCACGTCCCACTTCTTCCAGTCGTCTTCGTCGTCGAGGTCGATGTCGCCGTTGTCGGCGTCGGGATCTAGACCGGCCTCTATGAGCTTCTTCCTGCGCTCCTCTTCCTTCCACTTCTCGAGCAGCTCGATGCCCTCGACCTCTCCAATAGCTTCTTCACCATAACGGCGTTCTTTGATAGTACCAGCGCGGATACCCATTGTCGCATCCTTGCCACGATCGCGTTTCTTGAGGAGGTCGGCGCCGACTTCGCGGTAGAGGGAGAGGAGACCTTTGGCGGCCATCATTGTACCCTTGTCTTTCGATTTACGGTACTAAGAAGCGTTAGTATAAAGTATGGCATCGTATTCTAAGGAGCCAACTTACCATGACCAGGTCTTGAAGCAGAGTATCTGTCATGGCCAATGGCTGACGTGCGCAGATCTCACGAATGGAATTCAGACCTGCTGCCGCGACTTCAGAGGCTGAGGCTTCTGACACGAACTCGTTTGCGATCTTCTGTACAAGAGGCTCAAGCACATCTGGCGGTACGTATGAATGTGTCGCTTGCGCCAAGCATGCCAAGTAGGTGGTGACTGAGGCTTGCCGAGGAGTGAGGTGCTTCAAGAAGTATGAATATAGTGGGAGGACGGTGAGCTGATGTAATCCAACGAGGCGAGTGACAAGCTGCAGTGCCAGTAGCTTCGTCTCGAGGGCAAGCTTGTTCTTGGTGTTCTGGATGTGCTTCGAGAAGACGGTTTCGGCGAAGCCTTGAGGATCGTGGAGAAGGTGTAGCGCACTGAAGTTGAGGGGGTGGGGTGCGTTCTTCTTCTTTGCCTTCTTCTTGAGAGAGACAGCTGCGGACTTGATGTCGCGCGCCTTCTTTTTGCTTTTCTTGTTGATGCCGGCAGCGTGCTTCAGCTTTCCAATGTCCACATCGTTGTCGTCATCGCTGCTCTCCTCTGCGGCGGCTTCTCGCTCCTGGTCACCACCGAGGAAGAACCTGAGGCCGCCCGAGATGGTCTTTTCGTTGTCGCTCAGTGCTGCCAGTCGCATGACCTCGACGGCGCGCGCATCTGTCCATATCTGTCGTTTCCACAGCTCTCTGGTAATCTTGACGGCCCATAGACCCTTCGGCGAGGAGGTGTCGGATTCTAAGAGACTTAGGACGGTTAGCTGGGAATGCCAAGCATTGGGGGAATACTACGTACTTGTAAAGCGCCGTTTGCATAGACTTGTTGAGCTTGTGGTTCACAGTCTTCGCGTTGGACGAACGTAGATCTGAGATAATCTTGGTGTAGAGCAGTTGTCGCAGACTTTTGCTGTTCGTCGCCACAAGGAGCGGGAACAGTGTGTTGAGAAGTTTGACTGAGTCTATGACTTCTTTGCGCTTGAGCAAGCAGTATGCGCCGACGATCTTGTCCCTCAGATCATACTCAAGTACCTCGTGGTGGGTGAGCAGAAGCTCGAGATCCCTGGGGAACTCGGATGCGACATCGGGATAGAGGTCCGAGGTATGCGAGACGAACTCAATGAGATCCTTCAGCGCAACCAGACCACTGTCTGAGGTGCTCGGGTCGGCAAGGAACAGGTCGAGGAGGGTTCGGTACTGCTGGTACTGCTGCTCGAAGTCGTCTCTGTACGATTGGGGGTCTCGCTTCAGCTTGAATCGGAGGGCCGCATGGTCCGACTCGAGCTTCTCTAGGGCGCCAACTTTGCGCTTCATGTTGTATATACGATTATCGTGGTTGTGTCAATTATCGAGAGTGTCGTCTGTATGCGCCTTCGAGGACTTTGCGACATGAAATTTTAGTGGGGCGCATCCCACCAATTGGCCAGGGCGGACCGACACTAGGCCGAGAAGCTCTGGCCTCTTCGCGCGTAAATCTTTCTCACGAGCCTCGACAACTTGCGCCCGCAACTCTTCAGCCGCGCTGCCTGACACCGGCGCGCACTACACTCTGCAAGCTCGAGCATTCCTTTCGATTGTCGCGACTTAATTTTGAACTTTTCCCACACTCGCTCAAGACCTCGACGCGACGAGAGTAACTGGGCCAGCGCCCACCGCCGCCCATCATGACGAGCTTCTCCTCCATGTCCCTGTACGCCTTGACGGTGAAGCAGCCGACAGCGACTCAGGACGCCATCTCCGGTGACTTTCTCGGAAACGGAAAGCAGCAAATCCTCACAGCGAGCGGCTCGCGGCTAGCTATCCTGGAGGTCTCGCGGCGGCAGAAGGGCTTCCAAGAGCTCTACTCGCAGGATGTCTTTGGCATCATTCGCCGCATCGCCAAGTTCAGGATCGCGGGCGGAACCAAAGGTATGTCAGTCCTACTTCCCCGCTACAAGCAGTATAGTGATTTTCAAAGCACACGACACCTCCGAGCTCCCAGCTCACTGAGCCCGCGGTGGACTGGATTGCAATTAACAAGAACCTTTGCTGACTCCGTCAGACCATATCGTCATAACCACCGATTCAGGACGGTTAGTCACGTATGAGTACATGCCCGATGAGCACACGTTCAAGACGGTCCACTTCGAGACGTTCGGCAAGTCAGGAATACGACGCGTAGTGCCGGGCGAGTATCTGGCAGCCGACCCGAAAGGGCGCGCTATCATGATTGCCTCGACGGAGAAGAACAAGCTCGTCTATATTCTCACCCGAAGTGGCCAGACGGACATCGCCATCTCCTCACCGCTAGAGGCACACAAGCCACAGACGCTAGTGTACTGCCTCATCGGGTTGGATGTCGGATACGACAACCCCATGTTCGCTACTCTCGAGGTGGACTACTCCAACTCCGAGACTGATCCTACCGGCGAAGCGTACGACGAGATCAAGAAGGAGCTGGTATACTACGAGCTGGATCTTGGTCTGAACCACATCGTTCGGAAGTGGTCAGAGCCAGTTGATCGGACTGCCAATACCCTCTTCCGGGTACCGGGAGGTCCAAACGCTCCAAGCGGTGTCCTGTGCTGTGGAGAGGACAGCATCACCTACCGCCGTATCTTCAACAACAAATCAAGCGTCCACCGATTGGCCATTCCGCGTCGTGAGGGAGCTACCGAAGACCCCAACCGTAAGCGCATGATTGTTGCTGGTACCCTGTACTCCTTGAAGGGCGGCGATTTCTTCTACCTCCTACAAACGGAGGATGGCGACGTCTTCAAGCTTACCGTGGAAGCAACAAATGGCACAGTCGACAAGATCAAGATCAAGTACTTTGATACTATTCCTGTCGTCACCAGCATCTGCATTCTCAGGGCGGGTTTCGTATATGCTGCCTGCGAATCTGGGGACCGCATCCTGTACGAGCTCGAGTCGTTGGGAGACGAGACAGAGGACCCCGTGTTCGAGAGCGACCAGTTCCCTGTCGATCCGGAGACTGCTTTCGCGCCTCCTTTCTTCAAGCCTCGGGCCCTGGTCAACCTCACCGCGGTAGAGTCGATGGCCAGTCTGAACCCGATCATGGGTATGGAGATTGCCAACCCTGCCCTCGAAGACGCGCCACAGGTTTACACGATCAATGGTACAGGAGGCCGAAGTTCGTTCCGCACCACCAGGAATGCTCTGGAGGTTTTGGACCTCATCGAGTCGCCTTTGCCGCAAAACGCGTCAGACGTTTGGACCACAAAGCTCACCAGCGAAGACGAGACTGACACCCTCATTGTGATGTGCCTTCACAGCAGAACATTAGTTCTGAAAATCGGCGATGATGTCGAGGAAGCGTCTAACACTGGCTTCCTCCCAGATACAAACACGCTCGGTGTGCAACAATTTGGTGAGGACTGTATCATCCAGATCCATCCCAAGGGTATCCGCCACATTCAGGGTATCCAGTTTCCCAACGAAGATGCGAGCGCGACACATGCTAGTTTGACTGATTGGCAACCTCCAGCCCATCGTACCATTGTAGCCTGCGCTACAAACAACCGGCAGGTTGCCATCGCGCTGAGTTCAGGCCAGATCTTGTA